CTGAGACAATGGTTTCGCATGATTTGATTGAACAAGTGTATCGTTACACCTGTATAAATGCATTCTGAAGTATTTGATCTTAGAGTTTGTGTATTTTTATTCGAGGAGGCGTACATCACTTTTCTTATTCGCGCACTTATTTTAGAACGGAGGGAGTATAGAGGAGGACTTCAGAAACCGGCGCAAACTTTATTTTGAGTCGGTGCCGGCTCAAAATTATCCGGCGAAAATATGATTAATATTAACATGAAGCAAAGTGAAGTCCACACCGGCGCAAATCTCTACTCTTTGATCGACGACCAACCACTTTAACTTCGACATGGGACCGAAAGGACGAGGGAAGGGATGGAGCTCCCAAGAAGCGCTGAGCTTACTCGACTACATCGAGAGATTGCTACCTCTTGGAGGTAACCACTGGGAATTAGTACAGACTGACTACAATCCCCGAGCCAGCCAAGAAAACGGTTAAATCCCAAGGGACGTGACAGTTCGCATGCCGCAGTGTAGTAGTGGAGGACAAGTGCCAAGGCTTGGTGTCTGTGTGGCAGTTTGGGAGGGCGTCCTGACTTGAAAATCCCGGCCTTCCAGGTGAAGTGCTTAGAAAACTCGTGGATCAGGTTGTGAAAGGGGTCGAGTGGCAAGGACACGGTTGTTATGAATGCACTGTGGTCTATCGTACCATACAACACTATCCATGGACTCGCGTTGGGTGGTACGCGGACATTGCTGGTGAGGTAGTGTCGTTCCTTTAAGGATATTCGTGCTCTGAACAAGCGGAGGTTGCTAAGAGCCTCGTCGTTGGCATCGTCGTCGTCCAGCAAGTGCAACCACAGACATCACCTCATTGCTGCTAAGTTGCTTTATCCGTTCTACAACAGTGTCCGTACCAAATAGTCCGGACCCGCCGCAAATTTTGATGAGGCGCTTTTCTGACCTCACCAAAATTTGCGGCGCATTTGAATTATAATTCCGGATGATTTTGGTGGCGCAAAATAAAGTTTGCGCCGGTTTCTGAAGTCCTCCAGTAGCAGTATTAGAGCTCTTTCGAAAACCTGTTGAGTTAGAATTTCACTTTCAAAACATGTCGCATAAAACGAAACTCAAGGCCAAGAAAATAGCTCTTTCGAAACCAACCATTCGAGTTTGACTCAATGTCGCATATAAGTACTGTAGGTGTCGCGAGGACTTATACGTGAAAACATGACCCAGCACTCTTGGACACCTTGTACGAGGAGCCAGGTGCTTACGCAGGAACTTTCAAGAAGTCGTTTGCATGCGAGGACGACATCCTCCTCCTAAAGGGAATCAACAGCGTAAAGCCATGGGAAGCACCCGTCCGGCCAAGTCATGAACACCTGGGCCGATCTTGCAAAGGGTCTTCGCGACAACCGCCGCTTTCGCCTTACAAAAGATGGCCCTGCGTGCAAGAGTCGATTCGAGAAGCTCATCAAGGCCCATAGTGGCGACTCCTTGGCTGCGATGCGGCGCAGCGGCACTGGCGAGGAATTTGGTGAACGTGACCAATTACTCGAAGACATCTCGTCGCAAATGGAAGACCACAGAGTCTTGAAAGAAGCAGGCTGTCTGTGCGGTAGAAGCGAAAAAGAAAAATGGAATCGAGAAGTCGGGGGTGATTATGCGGCAGCTCGCGATGGAGTCCCTTGACGATGTGGGAAGTGCACCTCGAAGATCAACATCAACGAAACGTGAACGTGTCGAACAATTTTTCGAGAAGATCACGGAATCTGTCGAGGAAATGTCACGTAGCGACCCGGCGATGTCTGTATTGACAACATTCATGCAAGAGTCACGGAAACAAGATGACGAACGTGAGGAGAAGAGGATGCGGCGCGAGGAAGAGCGAGAAGAACGTCAATACTTGCGCGATTTAGCTAGAGATAAGCAGACTCAGGATTTTCTACTTGCACTTGTAGGAATGGCGCGACAAAATAACGGACAATAGGGAACTTCGATTTAGAATAGCGGGGCGTTTTTATATAAAGAATATATTTTCCATCCATCCCCAAACGCCACTTGTCCAACTCGTCCTTACTCATCGGTGGACTATGCATAAAGTGCACCATAGTATATTTTTGTAAAATATTATCCAAAATATTCATCAAGTGTTGGTGGTTGAAGACCAAAATACATCGAAATTTGATTTCCCATGGGCTGCATGCAGCAGTGACAGTTGGTGAACAGAATGGCCACGTAAAACAACTTGCCTACGGGTGTTCGTCGTACTTGCATCTTCTTGTCGTCAAACACGAATGGCCACAGGATTTTGAGGCGGCCAAAGCTCCATTCCACGGCTTCGCGAACTTTGCTCATTCGGGCGTTGAATCGGCGTTCATTGCTGTCGGCGGCCGGGGACGCAAAGGGGCAGATCATGAAACGGTTGCAGCCGTACGCCGGATCGCCATACACGTATCGGCCTTCGAAGGTTCCGTCCACATCGTCGCGTAAGACATCCATAATCTTACTGTAGCTCAAAACTGTGCTGTCATGTCAGCGACCTTCGACGGGGCCATAAACGCTTTGAATAATACCATCAGGTGTCGTAAGTGCTTGCCAGTTGAGGCAATGTCGACGCGGATGTCCGTTGTACACCGAACACTGAAGATTTTTCGTAGCGATCACTGTATTCAGACCTTGGAGTTGGGCGTGCAATATACGCTTAGTACCTATGAATACAAATATATTACTCGCTACACATTAACAATAGTGTAAAAGTCACTACCATCAATAAATCCCCAAACGTTCGTCAAGGGTGCTCCGTTCTCGTTTACGGCACTGCAGTACGACGCAATCCTGAACGTGATGAGCCTTCGGTTGAAGTACAGTTTACTCTTGTGCATCCCATAGAGTAAATGAGCAACGTGCTTGACGATGCGACTGATTGCCGCAGGGGAGCGCCCAAACTAGTTGGCAATTGTGAGCAGCTTCGATGATTCGGAGAGGCGGCGACAGATGATCGAGAGCGATTCGAGGCGCGTCACGTTGTCGCCGGCCTTTGTGGTGATGCGTCCTGGGAGCCCAAGCCGTTCTC